CATTCGTTCAAGTATTGGCGAATTCATCTCGATAAACTCCTTTCTATCCACAACTCGTAGTCGGAACAAGGCACTTGAATTTGCTCAAAGTGCTCAGTGTGAAGTTCAGTATGAATGTGTTCTCTTCGAAATCAAAGTTGAGAGTCGAATAAAAGCAAAACCGTTTGCCGATATTGCTCGATTGAGTTATTTCCCTGGTGAGGAAGAAATTCTGCTTATGCTCGGTTCCATCTTTCGACTTGAAAGTGTTCACTTTGACAAAGAACAGCAAATCTGGGTGGCTGATTTAGATTTATGCAACGAAGATGACCATGATCTGAAACAAGTGTTTGACCATATGAAGAAAGAGATGGGGAGTGAAACTACTCTCATTTCACTTGGAAGTTTGTTCCGTGAGATGGGTGAATTGGACAAGGCCGAAAAGTATTATAAACGGTTGTTAAATGAGCTCGCAGTGGATGATTCTGGGATTGCTGAGTGTTACATAGGACTCGGTAATGTACAAGCTGACAAAGGTGAATATGATTTAGCTTTGATGAATTATGAAAAAGCATTGAAAATCTTCTTAAAAGCTCTTCCACCCGATCATCCTGATATCGCCACCACATATAACAATATCGCTAATGTACAAGCTGACAAAGGTGAATATGATTTAGCTTTGATGAATCATGAAAAAGCATTGAAAATCAGAGTAAAAGCTCTTCCACCCGATCACCCTCATATCGCCAACACACATAACAATATCGCTAGTGTACACCGCAACAAAGGTGAATATGATTTAGCTTTGATGAATTATGAAAAAGCATTGAAAATCAGAGTAAAAGCTCTTCCACCTGATCACCCGCATATCGCCAACACGTGCCGTAATATGGGACTCGTTCATGAAGCAACTTGTACTTGGCAATCAGCATTAGAATATCATAACAAAGCAGCAACAATATGGCGCAGATCACTTGCAACAACGCATCCACAGCTAGTAACAATTGAGAACGACATTCGAAGAGTGAAAGCCCAATTAAAGTAGACATTTAGAGTGGCTGCGTCTGATTGTCGACTGTCGGTTGTTCTTCTAGTTTCCAGGAAATAACCACAAGAAGCGCTCTGATGCTCGCTCAGTTGTGAGATCTGTCGATTATTGCAAGCAATACTGATTTCAAGTTTTCCATTTCGCTTTTGAACTTTGATCATTGATTGCAGCATTGATTAGTGGTCAGAATTATTCATCAGCATCACAACAGGCGCTCTCTGGGATGGTCAGCTTTTGATCAAATCATACATGGGATAGTTTTCATACTTTTGCCATGCACCCTAGCTGACCGAACTTACGGCAATTGCATGGAAATGTTATACAGTTTGAAAGATTTCATAACATTTTGATAAGTCAACATACGAAATTGTATTTACATCACTTAAGAGGTCTGATTGTCTGCAAACTGAATGGGTGATCCTGCATCTTATCGTAGGAATCAGAGGAATACGTTTTAGAATTGTGAAGTCCTGCATAATTGTGCCATAAGAATTTATGTGATTTCTATTAGGATAGCGTGGTATTTCTTATAGGATTCTGTCATCTGAGTCCTATATTGGATTACACTAGGAAACCTATCAAATGCTGTGAATTCATAGATTATTATAATGAAGTGTGAAACAGTAAGTTATAGTAAGAAAGGAGAATAGAAGTTATCAATATACTATAAAATGTGATGAAATTGTATTATATCCTGTAGTATCAACCGTCGAATTGGATATAACCGGCTGACCAATCTATCCCTTGAATTGCTTATAAGAATCGAAACCTTACACTAATTTTTTTTTCCGAAAGCAATTAGACTCTTAGAGATTTTCCCTCGTAAGATTAGTTGTCTCCATTTAAACGTCAGAGTTTATTATCTCTTTTAAAACTACAAATTTCTGTCTCTTTTGGGTATGCTCAGTTTATTGTCTCATACGGAGGTACGCGAAAATATAAAATATAACGATTAAAAGACAAAAGATAGTCCATCAGTTAATTACACATACTATTTTGACATAATTAATTTTTATTACAAAAATATTTTCTAATCACATAAAAAGTCAGGTGCGGTACATTTTCGATAAAATATAAATTTCTTCTTTTATTTAAGAAAAATATTTGATCAACTACTCAAAAATGATTAATTATACTCCTTCATATTATTTTTAATTTAAATACATTTAATAATCAAATTATTATAAAAAGAAAAATTAATAAATAAATGAAAAGTTGAGTTAAAAGGTCGCATAAGCTAAAAATTAGCAAAATATTTAATAGAATAATTTACTCTGCTAATTATTGACAGAATTCTTAACAATAAATTAATATTCTGCAAATTTATATTAACATTTCTAATTTCGTTTTCTAATTTTATCCACTTCAAGCATAATATTATCTTAGTCCCAAAACTATTAACAAAAATATATCAAGAATAATTAATATATTATTGCCAGTATATTAAAATCTAATATGAATTTTGTCGAAAACGTATTTTTATTAAAAATTTTAGGACTAAGATAATATTGTGTTTTGAAGAGAATAAAATTAGAAAATGAAACGGAAATGTCTTGTGTGAATATAAATTTTGAATTAATTAAAAATTAAAATTATTTTTTGTGTTCTAATGGTTATATTTGATATTTTCGCGTACCTCCGTATGCGACAATAAACTGAGCATACCCAAAAGAGATAAAAAGCTGCAGTTCTAGAGATAATAAACTCTGTCGTTTAAATGGAGACAACTAATCTGACAACGGAAGATCCCTAGGTGTCCAATCACTTTCCGAACGAAAACTAGTGGTTACTGGTTTACCGAGCATGCTGATTCCGAATATGATCATCATAGCTGCCCTTAGGCCTTCGAAAACCAGTTTTCCAAGCTAAAAACCTTTTTTCTAAAAAACCTTTCTTCAAAAAAAAATTTTCTCATCTGTCTTGACTGTAGAGCGTGTCAAGTTTTCTATGAAATACTAATTTTTGTCATTTCAGATCGATTTTTTAATTTATAATATAGTCTGTTCGATCGCCCGTGTAATTCTCTATCAGATGAGGTATCGCTTGAATTTATTTAGTGAGCCTTTATTTTAGCAATCGGACTTTAAGAGAGTAGTGTATCATAAATTAATGCTAATTAGAGCTTTATTAGTCAATAACAGGAAGCAAAAAACGAACTTGTTTTCTTTTTTCTCAATAAACACTGTTCATACATTTCCCTGTCGATCTAAGCAAGAATCAAGTTTTCATAATGAAAGGGAAACGGTTAGGAATATTTTTAGAAAGCAGTTCCGTTTTGAAATTTACAGTTATATAGGTTCCTCCTATATAGAGAATTTTGTGACATTCGTATCTCGTTCAATAAAACACGTACAAAGGTGAAAGACGTCTCATTTTGCTCAGAATTTTACGGGCTACAGTCCGGGGAAAGCGAAAGAGTGTTCCAAGGTGATATTCACGGTTTTGAGTTTTCTAAAAAAACGGAAATATTCTAGGAAAAAGAATAGGCCAGAAACCAAAATCTCCTATCTGAATACATCCAAGTGTGGGCTACATTCTGATATAAACCTTCAGTCATAAACATTTCCACGCACGGAGAAAATCGTGTTTTGGGGTCTCACGTTTAAACGAAGAATTCTATATCGACGGAGCGATTTTACAATTTGTGAAGAGGCGAATACGATAGCCCGTATTCTGTAGTATAAATTCATATTAGAAGACAGTTTTGCATAGGTGAAAAGACTTAATTCTAAACATAATGAGAATGATCGATTTGTGGTGCCATCTCTTTCATCCTCTATACCTCGAGAATGAAGCAGTTTCAAGTGACGCTATTTATACCATTATCTTGTTACATATAGACCTACAATTGGTATGAATATCATTTAAATCTGTGACATCGACAATCATTGTCTGTCTGAGTCTACCGGATAATGACTCTTAATAAAAACTCGACCGATTACAAATGAAAATCTCTCTTAAAACCACATTTTATTGTCTCTTTGGATTCGCTCAATTTATTGTCTCATATGGGGACGAGTCTATACTTTAATTGTATGTTAAGCATGCGCCATCTCATTAACTTTACCAAAAGATTAGTAACACAAGTTCCAGTCTTTCTCTGTCTATTTTCATTTCTTTGTCAAATACATGAAGCTGGATATTTACTGAAAA